AAGCGACATTATCACAAGAGCGGGAGAAAGAGCACAGAAAAACCGCCCAAATGATAGTCGGGAAAGGCCAGAGGAAAAATGAGCAAAGCAACGATTTTCCAGCTAAAATGGAAAAAAGGGAAAAATGGCAAAGGACGAAATGTCGGCGACACCAAAATCGACAACGACATCGAGCCTCGGCGCCGCCTCGCATTCATTCATTGTGTGATTATATATATATACATTGTATATATACTATGTATCTACAGTCCGATTCACCATTGATAAAGTCAGGAGCAGCAGCAGCAGCACAGGACCCTGAATTATTGGCAAGCATTTGGCCAGGGCAGTTTTTCATTTCGCTTTTCATTTTATTGCCGAGTGCCGGCGAATGCGTCGTCAATGTGCGGTGGTTATGAATTATTGATTGGGCGATAGTCCAGCCTGACAGTCGGTCTACTTAGCAGTCGCCTGCCAAAACGATGAATATCACAGCCTAATGAAAGCCATTGATAGCTGGGCAGGCTTAAATGAAAATAAAGGGGCAACAGAGTAGGTATTATTATCATCAAATTAACCCTCTAAGTTTGATGAAAGTTGACAAGTAGTTGGGTATTTAATAAGCTTTAGTAAATAAAGGATCATTTTATTTAATAGCTGAAGACTAATCAATATTGATTTTAAATATAAATACAAAATATAGAACAATTTAAGAACATTTGGAGAGCGTCAAAGAACATTATAAATGCCCGAATTTAAATCAAAACTTGAGTTAGAAATCAACTAAAAAGATTTGCTAAAAAATCGTACTTTTAAGAAGAAGAGGATATAGGATAGTTAATTGGGATTAAATTAACATAAGCCAAGAAATGTGTTTATTTTGTTTGTATTTTCATAATATTGAATAAAGAAATCAATTAACTGATGCCAAAAGTAGACCACAAAATAGTTTATTTCCAAAGAAAAAATAAATAAATACTTTCTGATGGCTTTTTTAATTGCTTTCCAATCAAATTACCAGTTTGTCAATTTAAATTAATTACCGTTTGTATCCATTTTTTCCCATTTACTACCAAATTAATATTTATTGTACATTTTAATATTTAATGAACATCTATTTGAGGCAAGCTTCGTTTACCCTGCATCTATAGACATAAAAGTTTGTGTCAGTTTTTGGCGTGGTATCTCTTTGCAAAAGTTGCCTTTTCATAGCCGCATGCAACTTTAACGAGGAACGCGGCCGGCCCAGAGTCGAGACTTTGGGGCCCAATCAGTTTCATAAACCGAACTGGCATATTTCATTCGGTCGGCCAGGGGCCGTGTCGAATAAATTTCACCACCGCCTCACGCCCTCCTATTCATATTTGATGAGGCAGCAGGAGCAGGAGCTGTGGCAGTGGCAAAGGATAATACTACCGTAATACTAACGAAAATACGGGTCTCCCGGCATCCATCGTAATGCTCCACGCAAATTGATTCGGAGCTGTTGCTTTAGCTTTAGCTTTAGTCGCTTTTTTTTGCTGCTGGAACAAAAACGCACAGCACATCCTCTTTTGCTTTCAACGAGCTCCTTTAGAATTTTGCAACAAGCCACAGATACATGGTAGTTACATCGCACCACCAGTTGTACTTGTGGTCGTGTTCGAGCAAACTTTACTTAACTTTTGGCCCGCACAATGGCCAACAGAGCAGCAGAGCAGAGCAGCGGGGCAAACAAACAGGGCCAGAATTGAATGTGTTTGTTTGCTCGAGTGTCTCGGGAAACTTTCACTGCGCGACAGGGACAGTGACCTCATATCTGACAATAATTCGACGCATTTGTGTCACATACTTGCCACCCAACCGATGCCCAGTCCTTCCTCCATTTCCCCCACTATTTTCCCGGACGGAAAAGCGCAAACGTTGACAATTGTAAGGCAGATGAGGGGATGGATAGGGGGAATGAAAAGATAGGGACAGTTATCTCAGGACAGAGAAAAAAATCTGGAGGAAAAGGAATATAAATTCCTTGTATCAAAATGTGTATTTTCCTAGATGTATCTCACTTTTATTAAAAGACTGCTCCCAACCATATATTAATGTTAATATTAAAGTTAGTTTTTGATATATTTTATAGAAGAATTGAATAATTTAGTGATTATGCAAGGGTGGAAAACTCCTTAAAAGGTGTCCTTTACGATACTAAAAAATATTTTTTAGTGCCTCAAACATTGTATAACAAACTCTTGGGCACCTTTTAAGTAGATTTTAAATCTTTAGCTTACTTAAAAGATTAAAAAATATGTATACCTAAGCTCTAGTTAAATTTTAAAGCTCTAGTTTACTTTAAAAGATACAAAAATAATTCAGGCTATTTCTGGTTACTTTATACTCTTGTTCTCTAAGTGTTGGCATCGTTTATGTCCGCCTGACCCCTCGCCGTAGGCCTCGACAATTGCACAGGCCATTGTTTGGGCCACATCCTGGCACATCCTATGAGCACCTCCCTCAAAAGGCTTTCCCTGTCTCTCTCTCAGCCACACTCTTCCGCTGGCTGTTAAGTGCGACATATTTGCCTGGCTAATTTCGCACACACAGAGCGCCGCAGGACCTACGGTTCACAGTGCTTGGCCGAAATTTCGCTTGTCCATGTGTTGTGTGTGACATCATATTCGCTCGCCTTCGTCAGGACTCCCGCCCGATCCGGCAACCCTTTAACTCCCCTCTTTTCTCGTTCTCCCTCTGCATTGGCAAATCGTGTTTATGGCTTTTTGTGGCTTTGTCTTTCGATATAGGCTGATATGGGCTGGCCTAGGCTTCGCTTTTATGTTTTCGTCTATAAAAACTGCGTATGGCAGAATAAAAGCCGGGAGGCGGACCTCACTTAACTGCCATCCGGTTGTGGTTAAGAAGTCCTGTCTTGTCGTCGGCTCCTGCTTTGAAATTCCGTTTGCAGATGCAGAATGTCCTGTTTCCGGGTAGGATTGAAAGTGGTTTTTAGCAATCTTTCCCCAAGCTAAAATTCCCTTTGAAACCTCAACTTTATTTCCACTCAATTTTCCATGCAGTTGCTTTTTACTTTAGCCTGCCAAATGAAGCAATTTAATTGAATGCCAAATGCAAATCGAGCGAAAAGATGAAAACTAACATGGACATGGAAAGTAAACACTTTGTAGCTCGCAAATGAAAAGATATTTCTTTAAAACATTTAGTGGGTTTTATGAGGGGTGAAGCTATGTTCTTAGAACAAAATTTAAAATAATAATTTTTTAGGGTTGTAAACATATTGATGAAATATACTTAAAGCTAATTTAAAATCTATAATAATCTATACACAATTTATATATTTCTCTCCAATTATAGCTACGATATATCCTTCTCCCTTACAATATCCTCTACAAAATCGATTATTTGTCGAGAGAATTTAACCTTTAATGGACACAAGCCAGAGGGAATTCCCTGGTCTGTCCATGATTAGAATCTAGTGTGTGTTCACGTGCCGCATACGGAGGAGAGTCCGTAGGCAAAGTCATACCCAGACCACTCTGATTGCTCAATAATAATACCTCTTCCTAGGTCCTAGGGATTTGAGTGCCCCATTTGTCTGCAAAGGGGAATTTATGGCAATACCCGCACATCCGCACATTAATCAGCAGCCCGAGATTAATTAACTGCCCTGCTGCTGAGGGAGTGTGGAGCATGAAGTATGTGTGTGTTTCCTCCATTGTGGAGTGTTGTGAATGAATGTCAAACATAATGGCACTCATACGCACTGAGGTGCGACAGTTGACACGCTATGTATATCGGCATATCGGATGCCCGACACTTCAGCGCGTCCTGTGCCAAGGAGAGTGCCAGCTAGCCCAGTTTTATATTTTTTTATGTACACTGTGGGAGATATTGAGGAATATTTTATACCAAAAAATAAGTCAAAAGGGATTTCTAAAGGTATATTTGTAAGATTCATTAAAGTGTAGCATACTTATGAATACAATTTAAGGAGCAAAGTACACCTTCCTGATCAAATATGACCAAAACATATTCATTGTACACTTTTAACACATTTTTAAAGGATTTTAAAATCCCTTGAGATTTCTGAAGCATGGAAATATTCATATTCTAATCTAAAAATACTATTGATTTTGGAATTCAATTTTTGTGTGATTTTCTCTCCGTGTACCCCTTCGCGCCTGCCATCTTGTGGCGCCTAATGAAGCGTAAACGGTAATTGACAGCTCAAAGCAAAGCTCAGGAGCTGCATGTGACCTAAAATATTCGACAGCGACAGTTCGACAGGCTCTGGAGGTGGGTTCATTAGAAATTCGCATTCGAGCGTGGCGCGGCAGCCAGGATGTGTTGGGATGGAATGGCAGCCACCGGGTGCTCATCCTTCAACCCGTAACCATACTCATACCCAGACTCATACCCAAACTCATACTCATACTCGCACTCGTATCATTCCATGCCAGTTGGCAAACACACAGAGGGCACTCTAGTCTGACTACAATAGATTCCTGGCAGGAGGAGCAGGCGGAGCAGGTGATGCTTTATGGTGTGTGGCATCAACAGCGTTAAAGGTGTCATAAATTAGGTTTGTCACCTGTACACCTGTACACATGTACAGGGGAAGTCTGTGCTAAAATCAGTCCGTCTTCGTGCTGAACTAAAAGTCCCCAGCTCGGGAAGGGAGAGAGTGCGAGTGCGAGTGAGAGTGAGAGAGCGAGTGCACTTCCCCTGTCAGGACGAAAAGCTTTGAGGGGGGCAAAGCTTCGTTCCTGAAGTTCCAGCCAGGACCAATGTGTCGGGGAGTGCGCAAGGTCAGTGCAAGCTGGCAGGGAATATGGCAAAGGTGAAAGCTGCCGGGAGCGGACTGCATCTCCTGCGGATTGCTCTCGTATTGCACCTGCAGCCTGCAATGCTACTGATGCTGCTGCTGCTGACGAGGGAGAGGAAAGCTCTTTGATCCGGCCAGGCTTGCCTGGTGATAACAAAGTTGAGAGCCAAAGCTCTTTGGTTAACAGCTCCTCCTCGGAACAAGCAAGTATATAAAAGGATGCTCGCTAATGGCGCACTTTCAGTTGGATTCTGAGCGAGCTGCAAGCAGGACAGCAGAAGCTGGATAGGAACCGAGAGGAGCGGAGCCGAGCTGAGTGTAACACCGAGCCGAGTGGGAAATGGACACAGCTAGGAAAACTAGCTCACCGTAGTGAGTGTGTGTGTGAGAGTGTGCGTGTCTTAACTGTGTACATATAACCGTGTTCGCGACAGTGTTAGTGGCGTGTGCGTGCGAAAAGAACAGAGCTAGTGAGATGCTCAACCAGGACTGAGACTGAGCGCCAGAGATAAGGCCGGGATAAGGCCGGAATCCACTCTGATTGACCAGCTGAAGCAGCCAGCCACAACCATCGCACTGGCGTCGTTTTGCGAGCGCGGCTTAATGCCCGACTCGATGATGGACATGGAGCACCGGGACCACCAGCTGCACCGCCAGCAGCAGCATCACCACCAGTCCGCCCGCCAGGTGGCCAGCACCAGTACCAGCACCTTTGCACCGCCAGCTCCGGCGGCCACCACGGCCAGTCCATCGGCCGATCATCGAGAGCGGGATCGGGATAGGGAGCGGGAGCGTGAACGTGAACGCGAGCGGGATCGTGACCTTCATCTGCATCATCATCAGCAGAGCAATGCTGCTGCCTCATCGCCGCTGCCCGTTAATGCCACCATGCAGCTGCACCATCAGCAGCAGCAAACGCAGCAGCCGCTACAGATGCAGCAGCAGCAGCAGCAGTTGCCGCCATTGCAGCAGCGCGACCATCACCAACAGCAGCAGCAGCAGCAGCAGCCGCAGCAGCAGCAACTGCAGCAAATGGCACCACCACAACAGCAGCTGCCACACAGCCATCATGCGTTGATGCAGCAATCGCAGCAGCAGCAGGCCATCCACCGAGCCGAGGCGCGACGAGGTGAGCTCATCCTAGACGTCCTGGTGGCTCATCAAGAGAGTGTGCACTGTAGGCTGGCTGTACTTGTTGCGCGGTCTCCCAGGACCCAAAACACCACCAAGAACCAAAAAAAATAGAAAACTCAAACAAACGCTTTGCATCGACTAGCGAGATTAATTCGACGCAATTTGGATTTTGTATATATGTTTTTTTAATCGAAACTTTATTTTTTCTCGCACACTTTCTGCACACATTCCATAAGATGATCGAAAGTTTGAAAAAGTCCTTTACAAAGTTTAGAAATTAGCCCAAAAATAATAGAAACTTAAAGAATAGAGAAATTTCAGAAATAGTTTTCCCAAATTTCTTGTAAATAAAATCAAAATTCTTTAGACAGCGAACCCAGCAAAAGCTATAGAAAATAGAAAATGCTTTCCCTTGGAACATAGTTTTTCTTATCCCACATTTCTTTCGATCTTCTGATGCCGACTGGCTGTGTGTGTATCTCTGTTTAATCGGGTTAGGTGTACATAAATGTTGATATATCTGTGGGCCATTTCACATGCATGCTAATCGCTTCATTAGGACCGACAAAAGGATTTTCACTGGCAGCTAAGGACAGCGGCAGCAGGCGAGGTGTCAGTTCAGACAGAGAGAGAGAGTCTTTCCTTTCGCATTTCCCATGCAGAATTCAATCAGGAATTGCTTTAACTTATATACGAGCACGGGCATAACACAACAGCAAAAGCAACAGCAACAGCAGCACACACAACAACACTAGCAGGAGCTGGGAAATGGGAGTTGAAAGCAGGACCAAAAGCAACAACGAGCTGACCCATTTTCCAGAGCAAAGCTTTTTGCCAGGGGCTGCCTCTGACGTATGCGTTGATGTGGTGCGGGGGCTGGTTGTGGGCCGGGTGGGTGGCTTTTTTGGTCAGAGTGCGGGTGGTATTTGAGCGGGTTGCCTTGAGCGAGTGGGTGTTGCTGGAGCTCGCGCTCGAGCAAGAGCGAGAGATGAAGCACTGCCGGACAGCCGTTGGCTGGTCATTAAAAAATTATGACCACACATTGTTCTCCGAGATTGTACATTAAGGTAAATTCAGCACTTTTAGCTGGCTTTTCATCTGGCCAACACACACTCACGAACACACAGACACACACAATTGGAATAACAAAAATTAAATAACCCGCAGCCAAGTGCTGTTTGCTGTGGCACTGTTTAAATATTTATTAGCGATCAATGGGGTTACAGATAACCATAGAATGAAAGTTGACCATGTTTTAGACTTTGTTTATTGAAATGGCCACCTTTCCTCTGTGAAAGCTATTAAAAACAGCAATTATTAGCTTGTTTTCAGCTTTTTTTAATGCTCCGTGCACAGTTATGGATATTTTCCATTGGAAAAGCTTTGTGGCAAAGCTATTAAAGTTGTCATGAAAATGTCTATTGTGATGAAATTCGTTTTCTAAAGTTTATGTGTGTGACGTTATCGGGAGGAAACAAAACAAGTTTATAGTTTAAATAGGTTAAATTACATTTTAGCAGAGGAAAATAATGTTTGTTAAATGGGTTTCACTTATTTTTCACCAACACAAAAGTTGATGATTGTTTTAAATCACTTTACAAATGTAAAAGTATGCAAAAGATAATGCTTTCCTAAAATACTTTGAAAACAACTTTTTAAAAGATATAAAATTGCTTAAGATATCTAGGAAATCGTTCTATATATAAAATAACCTCGTTATCCTTAAAGAGTTTCAAATTGTTTTACATTCAATTTGATTTAAATTCTTCAGAAAAAAACCCAGACTTAAGCCCAGGCAATTAAGGTTGAAAAAAAGAGCTCCACACACCTAATTACATTTTGAGCTGTGTCCCATTTCGCTATCTTTTATCATTTTTATGGGAGCAATTTAGCTATAAATCTATTAGATCCTGCGGTCACCAGCCCCGAAGCGTTTTGCTGGCAAATCCAGAAAGCCTTTCATCTCGATGGCGTCCTGCTCCGCTCTAGGATTTTGCTCCGGCACATTCAAATCGCAATTATTTCGAAATCAATTTCAATAAAAGTTTGTTGCGGCCAAGGAGGAGGGGGGATGGCAGGGTAGCAGGTGGCAGGTGGCAGGAGGTAAATGGAGGGAGCCTGGAGGCTCCTTGAATGTTTGGCAGCTTGTTGGCTTAGCCAGGATCCAGCCAGGATTCGCCCATCAAAGTTTTCCTTTTTCCAGTGTCGCCTTTCATGTTCTGTCTGTGAGAGTGTGTTTGTGTGTACGAATGTGCGGGGTGTGTGTGTGTGTGTAGAGTGTGCGGGTGAGAGCTCGTTAAAAACACTTTGCTGACGTCGCCGTTGCTGGGTGTCGGCATTGTGGCAACTTTTCAATGAACTGTAATTGAAACTGAAATGCAAACTGTGCCGCTAATTGCCAGCAGTTGCCGTTGCAGCTGGCAACGGACCGAAAAGCGGAAAAAGCCAGCAGCGGTCGGAAAATCCAAGAACCGAACACCGAATGCCAGAAGGCAGACAAACAACAAACGCGTAAACAGCATTTAAATGTGTGGCATGAATAATTTATGATTTCGCCTTCGGTTGTGTAGTTATAGTTAGTTTCAGTTAACCGTTTTCCGTTTTCAGTTTTCAGTTTCGTAGTTTGTTCAAGCATGCTATTAACCCAAAAAAGTATAAACCCCAAAATGAACTGCATGGCAAGGATCGCAGGATTAATATAAACACAAGAACCAGCTCCCAGACAACCACATGATTGAGCCGATATGCATTCCCGATTAATTTCTCTCTGTTATTCGATTTATCGTATTTTTGCAGATACACAAGCAAAACATTCACATGGATTTCTCTATTGTAAGTCGCACCAATTTGGAACAGAAAACCCTTTCTCAAAAAAACAGAAAAAGATCCCCACATCCCACAGCCAAAAAATCAAAAACGAAACAGAAACAGAAACAGAAACAGATACAACACAAAGCTACTTTTTTACTCGTTACATGATTAAACTATAAACTATAACTATGCCTATATATTTCTTCTACTATATCTATCAACTATATCTATCTACGAGTATTTGCTAAGATATTTCATTTAACTATGCACACTCCTTGTTTGCTTGTATCTCTCCATAAATGTAACCGTATTTTTCCAAAATATATTTTTCGTTGTTCGGTGAGCGCACCTAAGTATGCTACAGATTTTTCCAGGCTACCCCAAAAGGAACAACGTTTTGACGTTTTTACAAGGCCATCGAAATGATGGCGCGTCTCAAGTATCAATAAGCAAAAAATGGGCGACTTGTTGCCCACATCATCATCTCTCTTTTATTCTCTCTGGCAGTAACTTCAATTTTTGGCTAAACTTAAAGGAAAATTTCAAGTTTCGTAATGAAGAATGCCCATTCCGTTTTTTGTCGCATTTTTTCCGGCTCAGCAATATTTTTTTGTATTTTTTTTTTGCTCCGACATTCTGTCTGCGATTTTTGTATGCGCCAAACGGAGGTCTTTCGTTTAAGATACTTTTTTTCTGCATTTTTTTTCCTTGGTGCCAAAGCCAACGCTCCGCGCATTATTCATGGTACAGGCTGTGCAAGAGGAAAGCGAGTAAAATACGAACGAATTTATAGCTTAAGCCTTAATTTGCAGCATTTGCTTTGAGCACTTGATTCCATCCAGCCACGCTATATGTATCTATAAGTCATTTTCCGTTTTCTCGCCACGTTCTCTCGCAGCGGACGAGGAAATCAGCGATAAGGCATCAACATGCGGCAAATTGCTAATATTTCTATCCGTGGCACTTGTGATAATGACGTTACCATTCAGTCTCTTCGTATGCTTCAAGGTAAGTCCATTTCCTTACCATCTAATTGATTTTTAATTAAATTCGTATTCCATTTTTCTGAAATTAGTTCTAGGTTAATATATATTGACCTAAATTAAAGCTTGTATTTATTCTGTATTGTATTATTTCTGTTCTGTTTTAGTTACTCATTTCTTTTCGTATTCCAGTTATTAAATGGTTCGTCTTTAATACAGAAATTGTGATAATTATAATACTTAAGAAATATATATAGTAGAGTGCATTATTTACTTATTTATTTATATATGTTGCAATCCTTTTGTATAAGTTAAAATACGTAACCAAATTTGATGTATACTTTTTCTTTTCGTATAATAAATGATTCTGTTTACTATTTCTATAATATTTTCATTATAAGAAAGCAATAGTTATTATATACATTTAACAACAAGTTCATTTTTTTATACTATTTAATTTTTAATTAAAAAAGTTGTTGTTTCTAGTTCCTAACTGACCTAACCGTAATCTCTCCCAGGGTATTTTTTTTAATTTTATAAGCTCCACCAACTTCCTGTAATCCTTCGAGTTTCAATTTCATTTCACGAACATTTCACTCACGTGCCACATTTTCCAGGTGGTGCAGGAGTACGAGCGCGCGGTTATCTTCCGTTTGGGTCGACTCATGCAGGGCGGTGCCAAGGGCCCAGGTGAGTACTCACTACTGCCTAAGCGACAGGTGCAGGTGCAGGTGCAGGTGCAAGTGCAGATGCAGGTGAGCAGCACGGGTAACGATTCTATGCAAATTTTAGTGCCGCTTGCTGGCGACAAGAATTTGTGTTAATTGCTGCACTTGCTCCAAATTAGCGACTCTAAGGGCGGCCCCAGTGCCTCAGTGTCCGTGTGCTCTGCTTTTGCGCTCCCATTCCCATGGAGGAAGAGATTAGGCAAATCGAGGCGAAGTTCTGACACAGTCAGAGAACACTAGTCTACAAAATTTAGTACTGTTAAAACTAATTTGAACTTTTAAGGACATTGATATGGAAATATTAGCTAAAGTTGAGTATAATTTATGGTAGAAAGAGGTGTGTTATACTTTGAGAAATATAACTATCGAGAGCAAAACTAAATGATATGATAAATATATCAAAACCAATATTATCATAAAAATATTATACAGTTTAGAATATAGAATTTGAAAATAAACATTTACTTATGTTATATTATTTGAACAGAGCTATAGGAAATATAACTAACTTATTTATAAAAGAGTCCTGTTGAATATATCGCCAAAAGGCATATAATATCAAATCTATAGTAACACTTAAGATGTCGAAATCAGAAAAATATCGTATCTAAGTTCAAAAATAAATATTATCAAAATATCCGAAAAATTGTATTTAACTTATTTTATTTTAAACTAAATTGTTAATTAGAATCTTGTATTGATTACTAGGAAAGCTTTATCTGTTTTTATTTTTTTTTTTTATCCAATATTTCAAACCAAATATTTATGTATTAGACATATTTCTCAACTTTAAAATATTGATTTAATTATGTATTGAGTCAAATATTGACACCATATCCATTTATCGATTTCTTCTGTCATTTTTAAGGTAAATACATTAAGATACATTTAATAGAAATTTGAAAGAAAAAGAAAAGATAACCCTTGCTGACTAGTGTTCCTCTTTTGCGTTGTATACCATAACGAGTGTGTAATGCATCTTGGCCGTAATTTCAGGTATCTTCTTCATCCTGCCCTGCATCGACTCGTATGCCCGCGTGGACTTGCGTACCCGGACCTACGATGTGCCACCGCAGGAGGTAAGTTCCGGCTCCGGTTCCGGTGCCACTTCCGGTGCCCAGTTCCGGCTGGAGAGCAGGGGCCAAGCAGAGCGTTTGCAGTCACAGCTGCCGCTTTTGCTGCTGCTGCCTTTTCTTCGATATTGTTGTTGTTGTTACTATCAGTGTATTTTTGCTGCCCAACGGAGCAGTAAGAATGCGAAATTCGTTTAGTTTATGTACTTCAAAAAAGTCCCCCTCACACATATGACAAAACTTTAAATAAGAAAAATAAAAAGAAAACCAAAAAAACGATGCCAAGTAAAGCAGAAACCAATTAAACTTTTAGCTTTTGCCACAAGTTATTCCAGCCAACACGTTTGTTAACCAGATGTACATATATCTATATCTATAGATATATATATGTATATGTGTATTTTTCAGTTGCATTTTCTGTTTCGAGTTAGTCAAAAAAAAGATACAGAAACACACACAGATACACACACACGAAGACACACAGACAGGCACAGATTTTTTTGGTCCTGTCGGCGGAATCCACCAGAGAAGCTTCGCTGAACATTGCCGGAAAATCCGAGTTGTTGTGTGTTGATTCTGCTGACAGGACACCCCCACATGCACACCAACCGCACACACATGCACGGAGAAAAAAATTAAAAATTCAAGGAGCAAAAATTCGTGATTTAAGAATGATTTATTCATGGCATAAATCTTTAAATAACGTTGAACATCTCGGCCAGAGGAAGCTAAATTTTGTGTTTACATTCAAATGGACTCGCAGAGCTATGTTTTTTTTTCGGTAAAGGTCCTTTACCTCAACATAAAAAGCAGGGTTATTTTCTATATACAAAGTCAGTTTTTTTCGGGTTATTTTCGTTTAATTTATTAATTGTTATAGATAAAGCTTTTTGCAGACTCTGAACCCAAAAATTATATTTTTAATTTTATTATTTATTAAATTATACAAAAATAAAGTAAACAATCGATTCTGTTTCTTCTGAACCTTAAAATAAAAGCAATTTAAAATCAATTTATATTATCAAAAAACAAATTAAATCATATAAAACCTTCTTTAACTATCAATTTTGTATCCTGAATAGAGTTAATTTTTTTCTCTCTGTGTATCCAAAACCCTGACATGAACAGGAACACACTCACACAGACACACGGCCACAGGACACGCAACTGGAGCGTGAATTACGCATACGCAACGTTTTCTTTCTGTTTCTTCGTTTCTCTTTCTTTGACTTGTGCCCCGCCCCCTCTTTCTTTCTTTTTCTTTTTGTTTTTGTTTCTGTTAAGCTCTTTCTCCCCACTCTGGTTGTTCCTGTTGTTCTTGTTGTCGTCGCATGTCACGGTGTTTACTTTTGGTTTCTATTTTCTGGTTCCCCTTCGTTGTTTCTTGTCTTTTCATTTCTTTACGGTTTCGGTTTTCTTTACTTTCTGCGTAACCGTGTTTCTTCCTGCTGCAGCCTCTCTAGCTGTCTCTTTCTCTGTCTGTCTTAACTATCTATCTCTATCTGTGTGTCTTCCTGCTCTCTCTATGTACTCGTTTATCTATGTCTATGACTATCTGTATCTCTTAACATAACTATCTCCTTTTCCCCCCTTAACAAAAACAATTAAATCCAGCTGAGAAACCTGCTTTCTAAAACCACCAACAAAAGAAAACAGCATCATCAACAACAAAATTAAAAGCGTTAAATAATAAATATATTCCTTTAAAATGAGTCTCTTCAAAAACTATTAAAAATTATTGTTTTTCTGACCTACATTTTCTACTTTACAAGACATTAGGAAAACATCTAAAAGAACAAAATCAGAAACCGTTAAAAAATTTGTAAATGTATAAAAATGTTGTTCTATAAAATGGCTAGGTTTTTAATTTTTTATAAACAAAAATTAATCTTTTTGTAACATACAAATGTTGTATGTTAATTTGAGAAATTTTTAAATTAATTTTAATTTTTTAATTCGATACCTTACGTTTTCTAAACACAACAAAAATAAATGAGAAAATCTTTTCAAAAGAAAACTTTATATATTCTCAACAATAACTCAATTTTTTAATCAAAAAACAACAGCATTTAAATTTTAAAATACCAAAAATCAACTCTCTCGAAAAATGAATTAAGGTTTTAAAAACTCCGTTATTCCTGAGAGTCTGCATTTTGGTTTATTTAATTGCGGTTCCTACGACTTAGCCGCTCTCACACACTCTCTTACGCATTACACACACCATAAAACACACACACTGAATTGCTCTCTCTATACTCCTCCTCTCGTTGTTGTTGTTGTTGTTGTTGGTAGACTTTGTTGTATCCTATATATCAAGCATACATACATACCTCTATATACATATATTTTAAATACTTTGTATGGTACTTGTTGTCGTATTGAAAGTTGAACAATGTTGCAGATTTTTATTATTATTGCCATTGGTGTGCACTCAACCACTACTACTCACAGATGCAACCTACATCCATACATACATCATACATACACACCTGTCTCACCTTTCCACACACACTCACACAGAAGTTTCATCAAGATACGCGCTCCATTTATTTTGGGAATTTACTTCGGAAAAGCCTTTAGTTCGCTTACTTGATCTTTTATCGCAATCAACCCAACCCCCTCACATTTCTCATTTTTACCTGTACCTGTAACATTTTTACCTGTACATATTTCATTGTTCGCTTGGCAGACTTAAATGAAATATGGAATGAAAAGCGATGGCAAAAGTGAATTTAAGATAGAAGTAATGGTGCAACGATGGTTCGATTTCAATCCGCTGGCCTTTCCAGCCATATTTTTTGTACCACCATCTTGCTGACGTCACGTGGAGCAAACTCATACACACAGGACACACACCACACACACACACACCAAGCAAAGCGAAAAGCCAAAAAACAGTTTTATTCAGTTTCTGTATAAACCCCCTTCATATATATTTTCCTCTTTTTCCACTCTTTTTTTGTTATATATCTGCGAATTCCGCCAGCATTTTCGTGTTCCATTTGAGTTTGTTCGGTTTTTTGTGTAAATCGCATGAAGGCCACTGCGGCAATGCCCTCGGATGAACACAAAAAAAAATGAAGAAGCAAAGCCCGCTCAGTCATCTTCTCGTTGACGTTGTTATTATTCACTCAAACACACACACACAGCAACTACACACAATCTCAGACTCTACACACACACATTTATCTCCCTTTAAGTGCATACGAAATGCGATTTTTTGGCGCATCATTTCGTTTCACTTTCATCTTTGGTTTCCTTTTTTGATTCTTTTTTTTTTTTGAGTTGAATCGATTTGAGTTTTTGTTCGAGCATTTCATTTTGAATATCGTATCGTATCGTAATCGTTATCGTAATCGTATTTAGTTCTTGATGTCTTTTGAACATTAACTTCCAGTTATTACAATTTGCATAGTTAAAGCTCTGATTGTCTCTCTTGCAATTAGAAATGAAACAAAAACCCAAAAAAAAAATTATATATAGAAAAAAAAACAGTCAAATATCAAAGCAAAAGTGAAAGAATGCATATCAACTGAAAATTCTATCTCTCTCTGTCTATCTATCTATCTGTCTCGCTCTCTGTGTTCAGCCGAGCATCACATAAAAAATAGAAAATAAAAAAATATATAAAAAAAATATTACAATTGGTGGGCGGGGGCGGGGCATAACCACTAAAGAACTGTACGCATTACGCATTGGCTCTCTCTCTCTCTCACTCAATCACACACGCACACAGCCCTCCCTTTTCTTCACCCCCTCTATCGCTGTCTCTCTCTCAATCTCTATCTCTATCTCTCTCTCTCTCTGTATGTCACTCAATGTCTGTCTCTATCTGTGATGAAGAAATGAATGTCAAATGTTTGTTCACTGAACACAGGGTGCAGCACTCACACCACCAAGAACTTCACACAGATACACACGCACACTGAATCAACAAATCAAAATTAATAACAAATAAAATCCCAGGTCTTGCGTAGCTTAGAAGTATGCAACAGAAATGCAAGTGGAACCCTCAAGAGGAAAAACCATTCAGTGCACTCCCCAAAAATCCCACACAAGCTACCAAAACAAAAACCGAAAATTAACTTATAATCAGACAATCAATCTATCTATCTATCTCTCTCTCTCGCTGTCTATGACTGTCTTGCTCACTCTCCTGCTAAGCAGCCACCCAAAAACCGATCTCTCCCACCGTCTATCTCTCTCTAATTATCTCTATGTCTCTATCTGACTGTCTATCTAACCCACGCTCTATATATAACTCTATTTATATATATGTACTACCTCTCTCTCTGTCTCTATCTCTCTCTCTCTCTCTCTCTTTATATATATATAAATATATACCAACATATATATTGATTTTGTTTTTGAGCTATGTAAGTTTTGTTTAGCAAAACAGTTTGTTTTTCCATATAAGAAACCGGAACCAAAAAACCAGATAAACCAAAGCAAAAACCCTCACACCAACAATAATATATAAAAATATAGAAAATATACCGAAATGCACTTATTTGATATAAAAAACCCCCACTCTCCCCCCTCGGTTAAGCGTTCAAATAATTTTTGAGAGCATGCTAAATATATATTTCCATAAATGTCTATTCTAAAAAGCTTTCTAACTGTCTTTAACGAAAAAAACCAAAGAAAAACCAAAAGAATATACAAAACAAAAACCTAAAAAACGAAAACAAACACAAGCAAACAGTTAATGTTTACCCAATGTTGGTCTAACTTAAGTACTGGAAAACGGAAACAAAAGCCAAAACTAATGCATAAAAATTCAGAGAATCAATAACACCACCGCAACACTCACAGACACACACTCACTCAACGCATACACACAAAAAACATCGTCTAACGTTGTCGTTTAGTTCACACGCTTTTAGTTTTTGTTAAACAAAAACATATCGCCAAAACCACCCCCCACCAAAACCCCCCAAAAATAAATATATAAAGAAGAACAACAACAATTATTGTATTGTATTGTGTACAACTAACTAAACTAATTAAACGTTACAATTTGATTTGTTTGAGCACGAGCGACAAAAAAAGGACGCACTCCCCCTCAAAAAAAAAAAAAAAAACAAAAAAGAAAGCAATCAAGAAAGCACATTGCATATATGCGATATATATATCCGCACCACGGCGAATATGTATGCACATATATCGCTGTGCCGATCTGAGCAAACGAAATGAGCAAAAGCAACCCATGTCGAGTTCATCTATGTGTGTTTTGCGTGGTTTAGGCTGTTAAACGTGGTAACAAAATTCAACTCAACTCAACTCAACTCAACTCAACTCAACTCCTGCACGCATGCAGGCCGAATAAAGCCAAGTTAAAAGCGAGAGCATTAGACTAATACGAATAAAGCTAAGAAAGAACGCGTTAGAATCGTAACTCTGTAATTGTAACTAAAGTATAACTGTAATGATGTATAGTAGCAAGTGCTAGAGCCATAGCTAGTCCCAGCATCACAGCATCAGTAGTTGCCCCATAGATACGATATATACATGTATAGTCCATAGCTTCGGAGATGTGAACAGAAAAAAAACCATGACAAAACCAGACCAGATGAGTGAGGGCCCCAAAAAAGACTCTGTCTCTATCTATACTCTGACTCTTTCTCTGTCTCTCTATCTCTCTCTGTCACTATAAATACTAATTAAAAAAAAATATCAAATACCAAATCAAAGATATTTTCAGTTGAAACCAATATCGTTGATCCAAGTGCTGACACATTCCCAGCATCAACTGTGCAAATTGTAATAAGTAACCTAATTATAATTAAATGAAAACTCATTAGTTTAGGCGTTACAGTGTATAAATATACAGTGTGTATGAACTATCGTTTGAAATTTTCATTTCATTCACCACCACAAACAAACACCTCCAACTACACATCTAACACCACCACCACCACCCCCACTTCCACCTTCCACTTCTATGATTTCATCATTGATTCCTGAACGTTTCTATTGACCCGTTGCCATGCTCATTCAATGCTATATTTCCTCGATTCAGACTGTAAAATGCAATGAACAAGCAAGACTCATCCAGGACCCAACTCACTACACACACACATATATACACACCCCGCCCTAGCAACAATTATTGGGAAATAATAAGCCATTGTTCAAGCCAAATTGATTTAGGGCTCTGTCCATGTTCGCCCCGGCTTTCATAATGAAGTGAGTCGTCGAATCGTGCATGATTATGCCAAGGTATGCAGAGCGAAGGTCCTTGATGATGCATTTCAATAGAGCAGAGCATACACAATGCAATGCAATTGAATTTGTCGATTATTTGTTTTTAGCTAAATTGAACAAGCCACCCATCCATCATTCAGTCGTAATGGAGGGCACAAGTCGCAACGGCTCAAAGGATACTTTCAAAAAGTAATCATACGCACTGTTGCCCCGGAATATAAACACCAGCTTTATGGTTTACTAGCAGCTGAGGCACATCAAAATAGGTTAATATTTTATTAGCAGAATACAAAAGACTAGGAAAAGAAGCAAAACATCAAGTAAAATTAAAAATTGAGCTAAATTCAATATGTAGTAAAAACCCCACAGGGCGTATACTTGATATTCTTAATCTTAAGACTTAAGACTAAAAAGTCTTAAGGCTAAAAATATTATGAAGATTCATAATATTACTGCTTTTTTATTCCAAATCCTTTTCAAAATTATGGAACCACGCCACAGGGCGTATACTTGATATTTATAGAGAATACAAATATCAAGTATACGCCCAGTGGGGTGAGTAGAGCATTTTGAAATTGAATTAGGAATAAAAAATCTATAATATTATGAATCTTTTTTTTGCGTTAACAATGTATTTCAGTTTTATTTTTAATAAAACATATGAAATTATTCGAAAACTTGAAGATTATATTTCAAAAACGTCTTTTGGCAAGCTATAGTAATTTTCTTGATTTAATTTAGAGAAATTATTGAAATGATAAGTAGCTAAGCTTACAGCAAACTTCTTTCTTAGTCTTTTCACTTCTTAAATATGAAATTTAAACCAGAAATTGCTAAATATTGCTTACTAACAGCTAAAACGGATGTGTATTTACATAAATACCTTCACAAAACTTAGCAAGCTTATCAAGTACCTCTGCTTACAATTATTATAAATAAACAGACAAAATCCGGACAAGATTTGACTCTATAAATTTAAATAACTGGATTTAGAGAAACACTTCTGTGCCAGCTCCTCCAGTTGCTGCTCACATTTCAGTTGATTCTCATGCTAAAAGGCTAGAGATTTGCAAGGCACCCGAAAAGTTCGCCCACATAGAGCCGGAGATGATGATGATGGTGGAAACCCTCGAAACTGGCCGAGTGGAAACGATGACACTAAACAACATTGACACCACAGAGCTCCGGCAGCTTTTGTTGGGCCCCGTTAAAAGCGGTCTAGACTGCGCCGAACAATGTTTGGGCAGGTCATAAAGCGCCAAGCGAGGGAGCAACTTTCTGCTTTCTGCTCGATGTATATACATGCACTTGTGCGGGATAGTTTTGGCATAAGTTAAGCCAACTTATGCGAGGAGGGCCTCTGTGGCCAAGGCAAAGGCAAAGGCAGTGGAAAATAAGATAAAAATTTGAGAATTCGATTTGGGCAACATCATGGACCGAGGCTGCTGACACCATTGGGGCAGGCCCCAGTAAACTTGCGGTGTGGATGGGAATGATCCCGAGACGGAACGTGTACATAAACCGCCCACGACCCCGTCACATCTGTCTCTCTTTCTCTAAACCCGCCCCAAAACCCGCCAAACCCACAACTTGCTAAAATATAAATCTATATAAGACATTTCCTACAAACGATTTAATTCCTTTTGGTTGTTTAGTTTGATTCGCTTTTAAGTTTCCTACTTTTTCGGCTTATAATTTGAGTCTCTTACACGTGTACTTGTATAATTTCCCCACTATCTCTCTATATATCTCTCTGTACTCCTATCTGTACTACAACTTATACACTGTAACCTCCAAGCTCTTGGGTTTTGCTCCACGAATCGCTTTAGCGCAGATGATCGGATCCCTCTCTGAGCCCAAATTGCTGGTTGGGATATATAACTCTCGCTGTCTCCCCCGGATAAAGTTCGCTGAATGCAAAACAATGCGAAAAGACTTTGGGACTTTGGGATGTGCACAACCCACACACACACTCGCGGATGCCAGAGCTAAAAAATGCAAATGCAAAATGCAAAAACGCACAGTCACAGTCACAGATGCAATAATCAAAATGGAAGAAGCCCTGCCTTTGTGTGTATATGTGTGTGAGTCCTTCTGTCTGTCCTTCCGTCCCGAGGTCTGAGGCAAAAGTTTTTGCACTCCCTGCACTTAGTTCTATTAGAGAATAGCGAACCAACCCGACCCGACCCGGCCAAGAGGCCAGCGAGCAGATAGCGAAAGCCGTTCAAGTCAAGTGCATTCGCATTATACCCTCTCTGTCTCTCACTATCTCTCTATATCTCTGGGCTATGAAGTGCACAGCGCACAGCACAGCACGGCCACCGATACAGATACAGATACAGATACAAATGTTTAGCTTATCACCATAGTGCCATAGTGCCACCCACATGTGTATATATACTCGTGTACGAATTGCAAATATTTCAATGCGCGTTCTATTTGTATATACGCACATCTCTACCTCTCTCTCTGTTTACGTCTGTATTCGTTTTGTCGGCAACAATAACAAGCGAATTTATAAAAAACATATATAAAAAAATACAAATAACTACAGACCAACTACAACAATAGCAGGAACAATAGAGAAAGCAAGCAAAGTGTCCCCAAAAACCAAAACCCCACTGCATCTTGTAGGTTCTCACAAAGGATAGCGTTACGGTTTCGGTGGATGCAGTGGTTTACTATCGCGTATCAAATGCAACGGTCTCTATAGCGAACGTGGAGAATGCCCACCATTCGACCAGACTACTGGCACAGACTACTCTACGAAACACAATGGGAACTCGGCATTTGCATGAGATACTCAGCGAGCGTATGACGATTTCCGGCACAATGCAGGTGAGTTCAAATCGGTTGACAGTAGTTGCCAGTTGCCAGTTGGCCCCGGCCTGGGACAAGGAGCTCCACCGGCTCCACTGACTCCATCGAGCTGCTCTTCCTCTAATTTACTTATGTTGCCTCTTTGCCACACACACACACAAACACAATAGAAATGTACACAGGGAAATTAATATGTTAAAGGGAAAATTAATGGGGAAAACTTAATGGGAATGAGCATTTTCTTTTGGCCTTTTCCAGCTTCAAGAGGCAATATTTCTAATGTTATTTAAAAGAATAAGGTCTAGTCTTTTCGAATAAAATGTTTTTAAATTAAATTCTCCTTGAGAAAGTAAAATGATATTACAAACCCCTTAAGAAAGAAGCAAGTTCCTGCCTTAAAATACATTTTAAACTTATTTCAACTAATTTTAGACATTGAAAGGCATTTAAAATTTAGCAGAAAATGTGCTGAAGATATAAATATTTATTTATTTTACAAGATAAATACTTGTAAGCGAAGTTTAAAGATGCATGTTTCATAAAATATGTTTAAACTTCAAATTGACTCTTATAACTCACTAAAAGTGAAAGGATATTATAAACTCCTTCAGAACGTATCAAGTTCCCACCTTAAGATACATTTCAAACTCCTTTTTAGGATGTCTAAAAATCCTTTTTGCAGTGCACAAAACTCCCTGTAAAATGAATGCAGCCAGGCAGCTACTTTGCCAGTTCCTTCTGCTGACAGATGACATTCAAGTCGCTGCTCCTAATTATGCAGCAGCATAAACCTTTAAACTTTTGCGGTGCAACTCCGCCAGCGGAGACAGGAAAATATTAATTGCGAAATTTAGCAGCTGCCAAAGACAGAGTCCACCCGTGCCTGGCATGAGAATAATCTTGGAGCCAAAGTGCTTTTTCATTGCACAAAATTGAAAATAGGGAGCCGGGATGGAGTGGAGTTGCGAGCCGCATATCTTAGCAGCTGCCAACTTAACCCAAATTCTAAAGGCATGCCTTGCAACGTCGGCGGTGGCGGTGGCGGCGGCATTCGTCGTTTTATTTATTTATTCTTCATGCCATATGAAAAATAGTTCAAAATCAGGCGAAAATCTCAAGCAGCATCAGGCGGCGGCTGCTACTATGGTGGCACGTCGAAGCGCACATGTGAAAAATGCCAAGTTGCAAGGGGCTCCCTCCGTCGAGTGCTGCATTTTTAGTTTCTCATTTCAAGGATGCTGCACGACCCACAAACACAATGTGGCCACGTGGAGCTAGGGGGAGCAAGGATGGGAAATAAAAGCACAGAAAATAAACAAACTGAAAAACAAAACTGTTAACGACCTGAAAAACGCGTGTAAACAAAAACTAATGTATTTTTACTGCTATTTCTCACACGGCTCATCCACCGACCCACCGACCGAACTACCAACCAACGAATCCACCTACAACCACCTCCACAACCACAACCACCACCACCTGGCGTCCAATCATAAACAGGTTCAACTCGACGAAGCCACCGATGCCTGGGGCATCAAAGTTGAACGTGTTGAAATGTAAGTAGCACAGCTTTTTTAACCCCCTTTGCAGCCCACTCAGTTGCAGTGGCAACCTGGAAAACTTTCTATGTCAAGCTATAAAAGTAATTTTATAAACGGTTTGCCTCGACTACAGTCGAAGTTGATGATATGCTCTAAAGGATGCCGAGAGCTCTGGCATTATGGCTGCTTACGATGTGATTTCTTTAAGGACTTGGATTAGGTTCAAGGAGTTGGTATTTTATAACCCTTTTTTAGGAGAGTTTAAGCTGTTTTAAGGGAACTAAGACTTAGGTGATGATTGGGTTTCTAAGGCTTCTCTTTTAGATATAAATTTGTTTTAAAGATATACTATATTCTGCTTAGAAATAATTAGTTCAATTTCTATTTGCTCAATATTCAACTGGATTTTATTTTTTAAATAACCAATGGACCCTTTAAAATATTTCATTACCTGGTTTTAGTAGAATGTAAAGCTGTTTTAAGGGATCTAAGATTTAGGTGATAATTGGGATTCAAAGGCTTCTCTTTTAGTTATAGATTTGTTTTAAAGATATATTATATTTTGTTAATAAACCCATAAGTTCAATTTCTATTTGCTCAATATTTAACTTGATTTTATTTACAAAATATCCAAAGGACCCTTTAAATTATTTTCATTTCCTGCCAACAATTTCTCTAGAGACCAAAATTGTTGCCAACTTATTTATTTAACTTTTGGCTCTGTAAAATCCTTTCAAATTCCATTTACCACTAAAGGTGTACAGGTGAAAAATCAAGTATTCATCGCCAGTTGCCAAAAGTTTCTAATTGCGTTATAACAAAACCACCAGGTGCTGACTCAACTCGCCAGAGACTTGAGTTTTTGCCAGCTTATATAACATCTAAATTGGCTTTCGCCATAATGTAGCCCCAACAAACATTGTCATAGCCGCGACAAGGAAGGCCAGGCCACATCAGTAGAGAGTTGGTTGTCGCCTATTTGTTCTACCATTTTTCCTGGGCATTTATCACACAACAATAACAATAACGCTGGATGATGGCCAGAAGTGTGGGTGGGTGTGTGTGCTGCTGTCCTTTGTCCTTTGTCTGTCCTGTCACCGAGCTGGGGCCCCGTTGTTGTAATTTATTATATGCCGCTCACAGGGGGCAAGTGGCTACTACTTTGTCAGCTTCAGTTTCGCAGCGCCAAGTGTGACGTTGGCACGTCAAATGCTTACATATGCACAGGAAACAATTAGAAAGAGCTTTCTGTAGATAAATTTGAACGATTTTTAATCAATTTCTATAATTTCTTCTGAAATTTAGATACTAATATTCCAAATCAAAGCCTAAATGGATCTCCCTGTCTTCTTATAACCAATTCCTTGTAGGGATTAGAGGTAACTTTAATAACTTTAAAATTCATATTCAGATTCGCTCTTTTTTCCGTGTTGCCAACAAATATGGCGGCTGGTAACAGCGGCTGGTGTTGGCCATGTTAAAACAGCTGCAACAACTTGACGCGTTGACGGTTGTTGTTGTGGTTATGCTGCTGCGGCTGTTACTACCTTTTTACCAACTCCCATTTCCCCACAACAACCCCTCACAAAACTTGGCCGGTTTCATTTTATGGCAGTTGTTGAATTTTTCATTACTGCATCTGCCTTCCTTTATTTCGCTGGCAATATTGCCCTGACTCTCTGGGATGTGTTATGAAAATTGATCAGCGCAGCTTAACAACATTCTTAAATGGCCAATAAAATGATGTGAGAAATTGTGCGCTATATATAAATTATTCCGTTTAAATTTTAGACAAATAGGGCGAGATAAATATTTATATATATTTTGATAAATGAAACTTCATGCTCGGTTGGCTGTGAAAAATACTGGCTGAGACCGCGAGTTGGTCGAATTAAAGATGCGCCATTACGCCGAGCTGCGAGGCACATTAGCAGGCGCTTGGCACATTTTGGTCTGATGGCAGACAATTTAATATGGAAATTGGAAAGCACACTTGAAAAAAATGGGTGGCTTCAAGTAATTCAAGCGAAAATGATTGAAAGAAGAAGTAAATATATAGTTAAAGGCATGGAGAAGGTTTGGTATTACACCGGTTTCTGAATATGTTGCTTAGACCAAGACCCAAAGCATGTTTTGGCAGTTTTCGACTAAAATTCCCAACTGGTTTAAGTTACTAACTGTAGCATTTAACTGCTAAGGTAGACTTTTAATAGAAAAGGATTATAAAGTATTACAAAATTTATATAAATAGGAAAAGAGAAAGAAACCCAAGTTGGTCTTTTATATTTTTGTCTTAAAAACAGTTCTTGGTTTGTCACTTTCCACTGATGTTTACTTATTTTCTCCGAGTGTTTGAAAACTTTTTGAGAATAGAAATGGTGTTAGCTTCGAATTACGGGTATTTCCGCTATCTGCCGTATTCATCCCCAACCTCCTCCTCCTGGCTAATCTCATTTTCTCCATCGACCGAACAGCAAGGACGTGCGCCTGCCCGTGCAACTGCAACGCGCGATGGCCGCCGAGGCAGAGGCCGCCCGTGAAGCCCGCGCCAAAGTCATCGCCGCCGAAGGAGAGCAGAAGGCATCTCGAGCATTACGCGAGGCGTCGGAGGTGATTGGCGATTCGCCGGCCGCCCTCCAGCTGCGTTACCTGCAGGTAGGTCACTGACATTGCCATTCATTTTGTTTGTATTTCAGGTGGGATTTTACTAGAGGATAAGGATATATTTTGCATGGTACAAGTGCATGTAGTTGAAAAATAAAAGGGGTTTTTTAAACAATGAACATGTGGATATGTACTTAAATATGTATAAAATAAGATATGTAAAATGGTTTTAAAGCATGCATGTTTAATTGAAACTTTTCCCATTAAACCTTATGAATTTATCATGAACTTCACATATTAAATATTCCAATTTTCCACACAGACACTCAACACCATATCCGCGGAGAAGAACTCGACGATTGTGTTCCCGCTTCCCATCGATTTGATAACGTATTTCCTGAAGACCAATGAGGCCACAACGCAGCAGAATGCGGCGGCGGCTGCGGCAGCGATTGGCAATACACCGCCACCGTTGCAGCTGGCACCGCAGCAGCAGCAATATCAGCAGCAGCCGTATCAGCAGCAATATCAGCAGCCACAGCAGCAGCAGCAGCAACAACCGCAACAGCAGCAGCAGCAGCAACAACAGCCGCCGCAGCAGCAGCAGCAGCAAGCGCCTCAGCAGATGCAACAACAACTGCATCAGCAGGGACAGCAGATCTCATCCGCTATGTAAATCCGCTTCAGGTCATCATATTGATTCGGCATTGTCGAATCGAAAATGCTCTGCACAAGGCTAAAGAAAATTCCAGGGTATCTAAGCTCACAAGTTGTACTTTAAAAAATCCAAGAAACCAAGCAAAATATCGCTTAATTATGTTTCTTACTTGTTTTAATCTGCAATCTGTAAGCCTAGACATTCGGTATTTTCTTCGAGTTCTCTAAACTATGGCTAAGTGAATTTACAGGGTATCAAAGTCAAAATTTAGTACGCAGAAAACACCACCAGAAACAAAATTAAATCAGTCTCTTTTTTTTGTTTCTAACATATTTTCTCGTGCCAAGTATACTCTTCGATCCTCTGTCATTTTAAACAAATTAATGGGTATCAAAGCTGGTTAGCTGAATTTTAAGTTTAAGAGGCACATTCATTATCTCTTGTGTACTGTGTTTCTTTACTCATTTTCAACTGAGCGCCTTGATACCCCTTAATAAGCCATCGAAATTAAATGTTTGTGCAGAACATTTCATTAGTCAAATAAAAACCAACGGAAACAACGATTCATGAGAATCAAAAAAATGTAGTTCATAACACCGATAAGTGCGATTCGAATGTGTTCGCCGGAAGGAGGCCCCAATAGATATATAATTATATATATAATATTGGGATTCTGAGGTCATATAGGTACGAAAATACAAACCTAGACTAGTTTCATACGAGGCGAAAAATAGAGTTTAATATTTGTAGCTTTACGACCAGAGGATGCAATTCTAAAGATAATACGTAGGACTTAGCAAGGTGCAATTTACCACACTATATATAAATATATATAAAAACAAAATGCATATACATATACATAAGTTACAGGTAAGCCTGTCAATTCAAAAATCCCAAAATAAATCAAAAAAATAAACTCTCTAAAACACTTCGCACAAAACATTTACACAGTTATCGAAATATCGTAAATAATCAGCAAGTTAATAATTCAATAATATCATAGTTAAATCGATGGCCGCTCAGGTGAAAATTCTAAAACCAACCAGTTTTGAGAATTTTGAATTTGAAAATTCGATATAGTCAAAAATGGTTGGTTTGGTTTTGTATTTTCACACCTAAAAACTGATATGACCATTGATTTTTGTTGTTTTTTTTTTTTGTTTTTTCTTATCTCCTAAATGTCCGTTTTCTTAAGTGTCAGTTAAGGGGTATATTTCTTTTCGAAAACCTAATTATTAAAATGTTTTTGTTATAAACTATATTTTAGACAATTTTGTAAAGACATTCTATGAAAATGAGGCGGAAAATCGTCAAATAAGACCAACGCCAAGATGAATTCGCTTCATTTTATAGAATGCCTAAGCAAAAGAGGATAAATGTAGTAATTTTTAATTAAAAGGTGAGAGCATACGATTGTGAACAATATTTTCTAAAAACTTCTGATAGTTGTCCTTTGCCACTTCGACACTATCACTTCTAAGAATTTGATCAATTTCGTCCCCAAAATGTTACCCTTTGCAAAGGCGTCTCTGGGTAGCATTTAACTTTTCTATTTTTGCTTCACAATCCTAGCTATATCCCTGTACTATATGTTTTTGTTATATACTACATTTTAGATGAATTTGTAAAGACATTCCATGAAAATGTTTCGGAAAATCGTCAAACCAAGACCAACGCCAAGATGAATTTCGCTTCATTCCATAGAATGTCTAAACAAATTAGCATAAAAGTAGTGGGAGCATACGATAAGTTTCTAAAAACTTCTGATAGTTGTCCTTGCCACTTCGACACTATCACTTTTAAAATTTCTAGCGATTTCGTCCACGAACCTAAGACAGTGGACTTTTTTTCTAAATGTTACCCTTTGCAAAGGCGTCTTAGGGTAGCATTTAGCATTTTTGGCTCCACAATTATTTTTCGATATAATCAGAATTATTTTAATCACAACGAATGACATTAACTACATTAAGAAAACGGGCCCGACGCATATTATTAATATACATAATATTGAACAGTTGATAAATGCATTTTAAAATGGATTAACCTGGTTAGGATATGGGCCTACTTTGGGCAGATAATAGACATATTTGAACAGTTGATGAAAGCGTTTTGTAAATGTTTAGCCTTAAGATGTTTGCCCTGTTAATTATGGATGACTCTAAATATATATTGCTGTATACTTAGCTCTTGCATATGAATGTATAAAACGTGATCGGCTATGCCTCGATGTATATTAGAGAAAAATGTTGTCCGCACTTGCATAAGTAAATACTTTAAAGTCTTGGTATTGATATTGGATATTGATATTGATAACTTGAAATATTACCATGTGTATAAAATGTGATGACACAAGTTGCAGAGTACACCCCGGATTCCTAGTTACTTCAATTGTTATTCTGTTTCAACTAGAGTTTGCCCAGGATACTAGCCGATTTGTTCGATTCACTTGCACCTCGGACGACTGTGGCCGAGACCAGTGGTTGCCATATGGAGCCTTACGATCAAATCCGTTAGTGAGCAACGTTCGTAGGTCCAAATACGAATGCCAAACAATAAATAAGAGTAATACGAATTTATTGTACATACAATAAACAAAAATAGCAAATATGCCCAAACTATACAGAACTGTTTTACCCCAAAATGCATGGCGGATATGTACATATATATCCCCAACATATATATTCGCCCCCAATAAGATATATACATCGTGCAGGATCTTCTCTGTCGGAGTAGCGAGCCAAAATGAATACATTAATATACATTTGTCAGTAGTCACCAGTCCCTTAAAACAAAAACAAAAAAAGATAAAGCAAAATTAACCTAAATCGAATTAGAATCGGTCCTTTCAAAGTGCATTTGCAAGACACTGAAACGTTTACTTTTTAGCGCACTTCATGGATTAAAATCGAGTTATTGAATTAATTATATATACATATACAAGACAAAACATAACGAATTACATATTATGTACAATTTTGCCTTTGAACAATTTTTAAACGGAAACGATTTCATTATTCTATATACATACATGTATTAAACCCGGAAAGGAACAATAAAATATAAAATTTCATTCAACTTTTTTGGTATCCAAAAAAGCGAAAAACAAACATGTTTCGGGTTTTAATTATTTTCGAGTTTGAAAGTGATTTGGGTAAGTTTATAGATGTAATTATATCCCCATTCAATTGTGTTTTAAAGTATAGTATAATTTTTTAAGAGCAGGGGTGTCAAAAGTCCAAAATCGAGAATCTCTGTGCACAGAAGGAAAATAAGGCATTATTATAACATTATTGCTTTGTTACTTTAACTTAAACTTATTCCTTAATTTGTTAATCAGTTCTTTACTAAACGCTCTTTGTTGAGAATCTTGGCAATACCTTAGTCAATGCTAGCGAGTTTATATCTCTTCTTAGGTGCTTAATATCTCTTTTTAAATTCCAGAAGCTGTTAATTTTAATTTTACCTTCCCAAAGAACTTTTATTTATATACTATTTACAATTATAACCCTTCAAAATCCCAATTAAAACAACCAGTATTTAGTTATTACATATTTTTCAATTTTATTAGTTATTATCATTATTATTTGTATTATGCATTACACACCTAACCGACTTAACGGACACATTTCTATCATTTTACATCAGCTAAATTCAGTTTCCATTCATATTTGCTTTCGTGAATCTGTGAATTGTTACCATTATCCGTATTACATGACAATCTCCCATTCCTTTTGTTAATTACTATAATTATTCATTCGACATTGTTGTCCATCATGTTTGTTTTTTGTTATTCAATGTTATATCAAGCAACAATATAGAATCTTTGGCGGCGCATGCAACACGCCTACCCAGGCAAAGGCTGAAAAATTTTGTAAATCTTTCAATTTGATTGCCGCAGTTTGTATAAAAAGTTTGTGAAATTTACGTTCTTCTTGTTTTGTGGTTAAATGCCTCGCGTGCTAAATGCGCCGCCAGTTTCCCATTGCTGATTTTGCAGAATTCGATTGGTATTATTATGGTATTATTATTCAATTTAATTTGTCGTTTATTTCTACACGTTATATGTCAAGTTTATATACAAAAAATTCATCAACTACGCTAAACAATTTCAGTTTTGCCTGTGAATTATAACAATATCCTTTTTTTAATTAATTATTTGCAATGATTCCGTTGTGATTCCGATACGTTGAATGCAATTTCATACAATGATTGGTTTTTGTTGTTCTCGTTTTAGTTTAAGCCTGGTTATCCTATATAAACTGATCTCTCTGTGTGTGTTTATATGTCGCCGTATAAATGTTCTTTACAAATACATAGATCTCAATACGAAATGCTAAACTTTGGTTTTATGCTACAGAATGTGCACACAATGGCCAACACAATATATAATATATATGTATATGCTATATGTACTATATCGATGAACGACAAACTAAAAACTATAACAAAAATCAAATAAATTAAATAAAGTCTCCTCTCAATCGATGTCTGATGTGAAGCTAAGATAGGTATGTGTTTTTTCTGTGTGTTAATGAGAGTTGATTTGAGTGGTCTCTGGTTGATTGATTGATTGATACGGTTCGAATCATTATCGTATGATATTTAGCATTTGAAACCCTGGAGATAGCAGTTTATCCATATGGCTTGAGTCGGGCTATTGATTTGGGCTGCACACGCAAGGAACAGCAGGTGTGGAGAGGAACTAAATGCGGGCCAACGCTGCAGGTTGTACATCAATAGAGATATATCTAGACTACATGGACAGTGCCCAATTGTGTGTGTGTGTGCTTGTTGTGCTTAAGTATACGAACAAAGTATAAGGTATAAACAATAATTTTGGCATAAACTTAAGTGTACTATAAACATTCATTGGTTCAATTGCTAACAACGAAACGTGAAATGCTTTCTCTTTCTCTCTCTTTATCTTTTTGTGTGTTTTTCAATGATTTGTACAAAATGCAATTTTTCGCAAATGAATTTTCTTATTTCAATCTAGTTTTCTGGACATGAAAGTAGAAGACGAGGCGTGGGCACGCTGCCACCTTATAAGTAAATGCCATCATTGGAGAGTTTCTCATTAGCAACAATTTGAAATACATTAATGTTTGATTCGGATTCGGACTGATCTAAATAATACTTGGCTTAGTTGTAAGATAGTCGTCTCGTGTATTTGTGTTTCTTTTTTTGTGTGTGGAAAGTATCAGAAGAAACTATTCAGCAGAGGGAGGAGGCTTAGTTCAAAGAGTTATCTAGTTTGTAGATTGGATTGGATTGAATTGTTTATACAAAAAACCTAAGCACCGATTAAAGTAGCGTTTAAATTGTATAGCTGTATTCGATTTGAAATTCAATAGAGTTGCCATCAATTTTCTTCCTACTTGACTTCTTCTCGACCCCGTAAGCTTACAAAACTAGTTAAATACTTTCTATTTCCATAGTACATACAGTTAGGTATATATATATATATAAATTATAAAATAGTTTTGCGTGTAAAATATAAAATTTAGTTCTTTCCGATTTTCGTGTTTCATTTTCTTACTTTTTTTTCTTGTTTTTGCTGCTGGATTCAGAGAATTGTTAAGATACGCTTAAACACATACATATATACCATACATATAGAGTTCATGGGTGTGTGTTGTGTGTGTGTTGCTTGGTTGGTATGCCATTAAAAAGTCTTAAGAATTATAGTAAATATGCATATAAATGTATAATATATATGTATAACTTTATATACTATATATATATATATGTCGTACGAGTGTGTATGCGTGTGTGTAGGTGATGTGTGTGATTAGGCTCTGGACTCGGCTGCTTAGTCTTGCACCTCTCGGTACGGCACCTCGGACGTGACCGAGAACGACTCGAAGTAGTGATTCAAGAACTCGAACGTCGGCCTCTTGTCGGGCACAGCATCCCAGCACTGGAGCAGCAGCTGGTAGATGTTGTCCGGGAAGTAGTGATTCGTCGGTTTCGGCATACGGAAGCCCCGTTCGATATTCTCAATCACCTCCCGACTATGCATGCCCGGATAGGGCACTTGTCCGTATGTAAACAGCTCCATTAACAGGATGCCATATGACCAGACATCCGACTTGATCGAGAACTTGCCGTAGATGATCGCCTCGGGCGCCGTCCACTTGACCGGAAACCGTGAGCCCTGCTTGGGACAGTACTCGTCATCGGCTATAACGCGCGCCAGTCCGAAATCACAAATCTTCGCCACATTGTTATCGGCAATCAGTACATTGCGTGCCGCCAGATCGCGATGGATGAGCAGCTTAGACTCCAGATACTCCATGCCGCTGGCCACCTGAGTAGCGATATAGATGAGATCCTCAAAGTGCAAGTAGCGGCCGTCGCCCTCGCGTAAAAAGTCCAGCAGACTGCCCTTTGACATGTACTCCTGCACAATGTAGATGGGCTCCTCCTGCAAAGCAAATATATCCGAAATTAATAAAGGCTTAGAAAAATATATTGCTTCCCTTACCTGTGAGCAAACCGCATAGAGGGCCACCAGGCGATTGTGACGGAACTTCTTCATAATGGCCGCCTCCTGCAGGAACGCAGCCGTGGACATGGTGCCCTCACGTAGGGTCTTCACCGCCACATCGATGCTGTTGCGCCACTTGCCATAGAAGACCTCACCAAAGTTGCCGCGTCCCAGTTTGCGCAGCAGTTGAATTTCGGAGCGTGGAATCTCATATTTGTCGCGCAGCTCCGGGCCCAGGTCCCACATCTGGGGCTGGGGCTTGGGGCAGGGACGCGATAGTATGTGACACAGGCCAAGAGCGTTTTCTGCGGCGATAAGAGAATTAATAAATGGATTTTTTCCACTTCATTGCCTACAACTTATTATTGTTGACGCTTGCGTGTGGGTGGTATACTCACTGCTATATGCCATGACCAGGGCCTGAAGCGAGGGGAAGGTCTGATTGGTGGCTATATAGTAGCCACCATTATCCAGCGGCTTAATGCGATAGTGCTTCACATGGTATCCACGTCCATCTTCCCAATCCTTCACCGACAGCGAATAGCCATCGGGATTGTGCTCCGAGGGTCGAACGAGGAATGTGCCACGTGGATTTTCCTCGGCCAGCAGAAGTTTATCCGCCTCCTTGCGCAGCACGTTCTCAAAGAACCAGCTGGTGGAAGAAGGATATTAGAGGTTTATGTTAATATTTCAATAAACCAATCAGGTTATATATATTAAAGCTCATCAGATGATTGTGTTTTTGATTGAATTTATGCATCTTTTGGTATAAAGTTTAGTAAAATTCAAGTTTTTCATATTTAAAAGCCATATAAATTATCACTAACTCTGCTGGCCCTTTTAGAATCAAAGCACTTACTCCTCGCTGTTGACGCTGCGCTCCTCGGCTACAAAGTTGAGCGGGATGAGGCCCTCCTGGCGAGTGCTTAGATTCACGACGCGCCACCAATCCGATTCGGTGTCGTCGATGACCTCCATGCGGTCGCCCTTCATGAAGCTCAGATCGGACTCATCGCGGGACTTGTAGTCGTAGAGGGCCACAACGACACGCTTGGGCATCACTCCGGGAACGCCGGCTGTAGGAAAAGCAGGGTGAAGTGGTGTCTAGTTAGTGGCAAACATTTTCGTCTGGCTGGCAAATTTGATTTGCGTCCTTAAATTGCAATTTATGGCGACAAATTGGGAAATATACTTTTTTTTTTCATACATATACATAGACATATATATATATATATTCCTATTTGCCTAACAAAATTGCCTTAAAACTTAATTAGAGTTTAATGAGTTCAAGTGTGGCTGGGGTGTAGAAGGTTGCCAAATGCAAATTGGATAGCATAGCATACATTTTCGGGGAGGTCGCCATAAACAAAACAATTTCATTTCGTGTATGGTAAGTGTGTCCCGTTGCCAAGCCGCGATTTTTGGCACTGACTTGCATTTGGCTAATTGATTTAGCCCACAAGCAGCGAGGCAACGCATAAATAAACTGCTGTCCACTCTGGCATGCCAGAAGTTGCCTTGGCCGCTCTTGGCTTTAACTTGGCTTTGGCCACGCCCCCTTTTTCAGCAGGGCATTCGTGCTGACAAAGGCGGCACAAATCACTGGCCAACCAAGCACTCAACCTCTTGATGGGTTTACACGACCTAAGCGGCTTTAGGGGCCTATATAAGCCCATAGTACTGTGTGTAGCCGTCATGTCATGGATAGAAATGCCAGTAGCAGTAGTAGTAGTAGCAGCAGTTAATCGGCTGCCGGCTGCGAGGTTTTGCATTCCCAGCTGACGGTGACAGGTCACATCAAAATAATTCACCAGCCGTCCACAGTCCACTTCAATGCTACTTGGAATGAAACGAATGGTGGCATTTATGCCATGGGAAAACATGGGGATTGGTTCCCGCCTTTGTGGTTTCAAAGTTATGACTGCTAAAGGTTGCCGTTTAAAATGTAACCTTAGTGCAACGTAATCTACAAAGAAGATATATCTAGCTAGAGAATACTTTTGCAAAAATTACAAATTTAAATAGGAAAAGGTTGGTATCTGGAAAGATATGTCTACTTGTGGATTTAATAATGCATTTTACCTTACTTTATCTATTTCTACATGCTCTAAATTAAACCTCTTGTTATCCAAGCTTATATTTCCCTTTAAGTAAAGGTAAATGGTATCCCTTAGAGCAGTGCAATTTGCTCGTGGCAAATATAGCACCCCTTTGCCAGCTTATTAAACTGTTACGCAGCTGCAACAGCTCCTTACACAACTCCTTGGGGTCTCGTATATGCCAACACAATGTCGTGTCATATCGTATGCAATATCCCCGCTAAGGTGGCATTAATCCAACACCACCTTTCCACCCTGCTGATACCCTTTTCCGGGCCACGAGAACTGGTCAAGGTTAACGACTGTTGGTCGTATTACCAGTGCAAATATGAGAATTGCGTTGCTACCAACGTGGCTGGCAGCAAATGACTTGACTCCACCTCTGAACCTCCTGGGAGACGGAACTCCAATTATGGCAGTAGGTGTACTGCACAGGTAGTTGCTTGGTTAGTTAGTTTTTGGCGGGTTGCCTGGCGCTGCCTCACATTATGCAAACACCGAGTTGGCCTCTGCGGGTAAAAGCCAATCTCTGTGGCAGGCAAAAAGTCAAATTGCTAATTAAAAGCTGAAATTATCACTCCGCCCGCGAAGGCCCAGGAGGATAACAGCCAAAACAGCTAATTACTAATGCATGATAATACACATACAGGCAAACTTCGCCCACTTGAACTTCTTTAATTAGAATGTTGGCGACGCATAAATATAATTGATGGGGTCAGCATTTATCTAGTAAATTAATCTCTTTAATTAAATAAATGCACTTAGCATGGGAAGTTTTAAGTAATGCAAAGGATTAAAGAATGAAAATCACTTGAAATGTTAATTTCATGTAAAGAGAAATAATTCGAAATCTTAAAGGGAATAAATACTTATTAAAAACTATAACCGAAAACTAGAACTTTATTCAATGTAATCAATTAAAAGTTACTCGAATCAAAAATAAAATCAAATCAAGTCGAAAAATAGTATTTTGTACCAAATCATTTATAAATGAATTACATCAATAAAAATGAAACAAAATAAATAAATAGAATCATATACACAGAATTTCAAATGATATTAAATTGAATAAACTAAATCAAATCAAAATAAAGAAACATCAACTAAAATCGAATAAAATAGAATCAAAACAAAAGTAAAGTTCAATTTAGAGCTAAACTCCCATTCACACAGTTGTTTCAATGACCAATTTGTTTCCTTTTTACCGAAGTACGACTGTAATTACTAATGCATGATAATACGCATATTAGATTGGGGTTTTTCGGATGGGTTGTTTTCCCAAAAATATATATGTATATCGGAAGGAAACTCACTTGGTGTGGTGCGGGGTCTGATGATATCCACGCCACCCTTTCCGCCAATTTTCAGCGGACCCCGATGATTAGGATCTGGAGTGTAACGCGAGTCCAGCGAACCGCCATTGTTGTGCTTTTGGCCAAGAACGCCGCCCATATTGCCGCCGGCGCCGCTGCTGTTGATGTGCGTCTGGCCAAAGGTGTAGTCGGATTTTTTGTAGCCTCCCGTGGGATAGGCCAATGCCAATTCCTGATCCTGTCGCTTGCTGCAGCATTTGTTGCCCATGGCTTATGCGATGTCCTCCTGTTGATGAGCGCGCACTTGAGCCTTGTGGGTTTTGCGTTGAATTCGTATTGTTATGAGCTTTCTAGAAGTAATTGATTTCCTATCCTGTTCAGCTTTAGTTGGGGCAACACATATTTGGCATTTAACGAGTTGTGTTTGTCTTGCAAAAGTGTTTTCTTAACAATAATTAAAAAGTTGCATTAGCCAAGATTGTGTGTTGTATCGTTTTTAGTTTAAACTATCAGTCGAGTTGGCTTATGGTTTTGTTCTATTTGTTGGGCCCCTGCCTTAAGTTTGCATCAAAAGCTGCAATTGGAGGGCATTTGCATTAGTTCATCTATCAACTGCTATCTCTCCGTTGGCCGAGTTGCAAAAACGCATTTCGTGTGGGTAAGTATAAAAAGTGGCCAATGTTGCATTCACAGATGCAACTCCTGCTGCTCTTGCTCCTGCTCCTTGATTGGATTGATCCTTGCGGTCTGTGTCCTGCCAGCAATTCCAGCCAGCGACCGTCTGCACATTGCTGGGCAATCCTCGTCGTTCGTCGTCAGTCACCTGTGAGCCGTAGCAATAAGTAAACAGAACAGAAAAACCGAAATTAGTTACTGTGTTAATAAATATTCATTAAATAAGCATTTGGCCAGACAAAGGACCCCGGTCAGTCACTGACCCCCGGTGTCCACTCAGCCGGAGCGACCGCACAAGTTGCCTCTTGCCAATTGTCCCAGCTCCTGGCTGTGGCATCCTCTGTGGGACCCGGTAAACGTTTTTGGCACATTATTACACTTGAGTTGCCCGGAGGAAGCTTCTCGACTCCCATAACTACAGCTCAGGAGGGTTCATCAGCCCCTCAGGATTAGAGATGCCCAGCGATTTGAATATCACATTACAAATTGCATAACATGTTCGTTTTATTTAGACAAACTGGTTTAGCTTAATTAAATTTGAAATAAATCGTTTTATTTTTCAATGGATTGTGTTATATGCGTAATAAGTACACTGATTACATATCAAAATGCCCATGAAATTAAATATTTAATGAGGGATTCTTATGCCTATGCGAATGTGGATTGTAATCTGTTTTAATTACTCAACACCAATTTGGTTGGGTGATAGGGGATTATAAAATAATAACTAAAGACTGAACTAGGTTTAGACTTATTTAAAAATTATAAGCATTGTCATTCAATTTCATCTTGATTATACTACGTTTCTTTAAGAATAGATTCCTTATACATTAAACTCAATTAAAAGTCGTAAAAGCTATCACTGTTTCTGCAACTCATCACTCTCTGTGGCCGGCGGACAGAAGTGGCACACAACCTTTCGACGAATGCCACAGAAACCACAAAACAGCAAATGCAACATCAGTTGCAGTCTCTTCCAGCGGAGGCGACCATTTGAAAGGTTGCCAGCTGGGCAGGCTCAGTGCCTGTCTCTCGTCTCTCGTCCAGAGCCATTGTCTATTGACTCAAGCCCGGCAGGCATCTGTTTATTGTTCAATTGGATAATTATGGTCTCCAAAGCGGAGTTGAGGACACCAAGGAGGAGAATTGGAGTGGCAACAGGGGTTGTTGCAGGGGCGGCTGCAGTTGCTGCAGGGGCGTGTTGTGAGGCCAAGGTTGAACCACTCTGCAACATGTCTCTCTCTACCTCCCTCTACTCTCCCCTGACACACAACTCTATGGATTGCTGCTGCAGTTTCCAATTTTAATTGTTATTGTTGCGCATTTTGTTGTGTCTGTCTGGGTGTGTGTGTGTGCGCAGCTGGCATGAAATTGTCGCTCCGCTGGCAGTTGCCCCCGGATGCCAGGATGTCAGAATGCCAGGATGCCAGGATGCATTTTGTGGCATTAGCTAATATCCTGCCATTGTCCTCCTCTATGGCATGCCGTCAATTATTAAAGCCGAGTCTCAAGTGAGATTAGGCGACTTAAATATTTAGCAAACAAAGAGTACACTTGAATATTTGTAGTGCATTTTAGGAGTTGGCTCGAAGAGCCTTTCCTAATCATTTTGGTTCTGTAAAATAATCCTATTTATTGCCAAAACCTTAAAGGTTTCTCTTTGAGTGAATGCATCCAGCATCCAGCTATAAAATGCAAACGGTGGAAAGTGTTTGCTGACTTGACAGCGAAGGAGAACCAGTGCCAACACAATGCCTGCCTGACTCCGTGTGGAAATTGTGCCAGGACATTTGAACTGTCTGAGTTTCGTCGGCGCGACGTCTGCATTTATTGTCCCCACAGCTTGATAAACACACACACTGAGAACGTGTAGCGCTTTAAAGTCCGCCCAACAACAGCAACAGCAGCAACAACCATAAAAAGTTTGAATGGATTTGCGTTCGTTTGCCCATAAAAAGTCAAAGTTTGTTTTTCGGTGAGTTCATGAACCCATTCGTCCAGCAAAAATAATAGCAACAACAGAGTCAGCAAGAAAAGTTCCACGGGGGTCAAGCAACCTTTTATTTTTGGGGTCGTGTAGCTACGATGAACGAGAGAGTTGCCAGCATTGAGGCTGCAATAATGTTGGGAAAATTCTATACAATTATATTCGCAGCTTTATGAGATGTACTTTAAAAGTCACTGACTGACTGGAATCCAGTTACTGGATTAGGTTTATATGCTTATATTATGAGCACAACACAAAGAGAGCAACAGTTGAGGAGCCCCGTGATAGGATGGAAGTGATAAGAAAGATGAGTAGATAATACAAAATATGTATAATATAATAGAATGCTTTTCAAAATGACTCATTGTATCTTAAACATGTTGTCTTTTGTTTATTTTAAAGAGTTAAGATAGGTAGCAAGATGGCTTAATTAGTCACAAAAATAATTATTAATAGTGGGGATGCCTAGCCTAGTTTGCTTGTTTGAGAAAACTTTGTTTTTAAAAGGAAAAAATACTATATATTTAGAGATAATTAATTTTATTTATTCTTTCTTAATCATGAAGAACACAGTGTTTCTGGTTGGTTTTTATAAATGTTTTCCTATAATAATGATCTATTCTCCAATGTTTTGATATCTCTAGTGCTCTTAAATCTCTAAGGATTTAATTTTTATATTGATTTATATTCTGAAATTATCGGAAATTTCAAGTAAATTAAGGATTTAAATTGTATAAGGATTTATAATCTTAAATTATCTAATACCTACTAGTTATCCAAAACATCTGGTGATTTAATATATGTATATCTAGAAATTTAAAATCTGTCGTTATTAAAAGTTAATAATGATCTAACATCTCTACTTAATTAGAGTCTCTGTGATATAAAATCTCAAATTTCATATTTTCGTTGAATTTAAATATCTGGAGATTTTAAAATTCTGAGAATATAAAAACACTTATCAGAGAAAGTATGCACTTACTATATTATAATGAGAACAGTATTGCCTATCAAAGTTTTCTTGGAAAATGTTATAAGTTTTTTGAAAATTAATAACCTATACCTTTTTAATTTCTTGAAGGAATATTAAATTGATTTACTTATTATTTATTTATTATTGTTATTATATTTTGTACAATGTTTTTATATAAAACTGTGTTGTTTTTTTTACATCCTAAATCTATGTCCCATAATAAACTAAACACTTTTTTTCTGGGTTAAATTTTCACCCATTTGTATTCATTATTTTTTAAGAGTTAAGAGTTAAGACATGATATAAAATCGCGCACACTCTTTTCTTTTGAATATTATTCCCATTTCGATACATTTTATTCCCAGGACGACAGGTGGCGCATTGTCTGCCTATAGAGACCTTGCCGCAGACATGAGCGATTTATAACCCCAACACACGACGACCAAAACTCTCACACTCACACATCCATATGAAAAGCTCAATGCAAATGGTTGATTGGGGATTCCTGGCCAAAAAGGGCGAGGGAGCAAAAGTTGGAATCGAAAAAAATAGGTACACACATATATACGAATGTATACGATATATCATAGTTGATGGGTTGATGGCCAGTAAACGAGAAGCAGTGAAATTCTCGGTTTTCCATCGCTGACAAGCGATACGGTGTGCGAGGGAGTATATTCTGTATGTGTGTCTGTCTGTCTCTCTCTCTCTCTCTGTGACATGAAAATGTAATTTTCTAGTTTACTTTTTGGGGGAAAAGCGGGTCATGTGTTGTGTTGGTGTGTTGATGCACACAAGCAATGAATTTCCATTGTTGAAGTTGACAAAACTAAATGAATACTTAATTGGATATTGCGGCTTTGAATGCGCCTGAAAGACGGCAACACGAATGTGAAAATATGGCATTTATGATTCCGAGTGTATAAAGTGTGTCAAGATGGGAATTGGACATAAAATGTCCATAAATCCAGATGTTAGAATATTATTAGAAATTTAGAAGATTGTGAAGGTAGAGTAAGTGCATATTATAAATTCGAATACTATCCAACTGGACTTTTGAATAGTTAAATAGTTAAATGAATTCATGTTGAAAGTGGGTCAATTTGATGCTTGTCAAAATGGAAAGAATTTATCAAATCCACAAATCAAATACTGAAATTAGCATATAAATGGTTTATTTTAAATGTTGAAGAAGTAAAATACTTTATGATTGCATTCTTTGAATACATATTACCCTTTCTTTTCGTAATTGAAAATGTGAAACCTCCTCTATATAATTTTAAACCAAATCATTTTTAATTTTGTAAAATAAAATAAAATAGCGCACAGAAAAGTTATAAATTCAATCGTTCCTAAGTCTTAATTTCTACTTTCTTCCTAATTCCCCCCCGAGCACATTCCCACAAAGCATTTGATCTACATTTTTGTCAAATTAACAATGTACCCAAGGAAAAAAAAACAATCAAATATATAGTTGCGACAATGTCTTCCTCTGTCTAATAAAATCAAATATTATGCAAAAGAATTTGATTCCCCCAGGGGGGTTGGGGGTTGGGGGTTGGAGGCAGGAACCGACCGCATGTCAGGCCAAATCCTTGAGGACATAAAGGCATTAACTGTAAATGCCGTAATGCCGTCATTTCCCGATGACAGGCCCCCACAAACGCACAGACACACACCGAAATAGAGGAGTTGATATGAAAATGTAGAACGTCTTCGGGTGGTTTTCTGGGTTGAAAAATGGAAATGGCAATGGTTCTGTTTCGCCCACATTTTTTTTATTGCTCTCCATTATTATTATACTGGGTTTGCCGCAGCCTGACTGCCTTCGTCCTGCGTCCTGCGTCCTTCGTCAGCTGTAGCCACATTGTTGCCTACTTAAAAAGTCAATTTGTGTGACGTCCTCGTAGTCATCCTGTTGCCGTGTGGATGCCAGGCTTTTCATACCGCCCCCAAAAATGCCCCCAGTTTTCCTCCACCAATTTTCCTCTTTTGTCTTATCTGTGCGTTCAACCCACAGTGTCACAGTCGTTCACCTTTAAACGTCACGTGCTATCGATTAGTCCCACAAAAAGAATTACACAAATAAAACAAAAAGAGAGCACTAATCAGAGGACCCGACTATGTGATACCCGGGTTTCAGGGAAATTATCTTACATTCTTTAAATATGAATGAATAAAATGGTAA